ATGCCCGTCACAATGCAGTGTGAGGGTGGACTGGCCGCATTTAAATTAGCAAAGTTTAGTTGAAAAATACCAGAGTTTCTTGCTAGTGTTATCCAATAATTAGTGGAAATGTGTTAGATATATTGACTTGAGATGAGTGTGCATGAAGTCTGTGACTCTGACATCATGAGTTGGACAACTTTCCAGGTGTACCATACTGAGAATTGGGTTTATTCCTGCAGTGGTGTCCTTTTGAGAAACAGTTGAATCAGGAAGAGCATCAGGACAGCCAGTGCATAGACCCTTCTGCTGCGTCACCATGTGGCCAAGACTGCTACATACTTAGCTGCAGAGAAGTAAAAATCAATTTCGTGTTGGGATAACTGGCTAGCCATGTACAGAAAACAGAAACGGGACCCCTTCCTGACACCTTACACTAAAATTAACTCTAGATGGATTAAAGACTTAAACATAAGACCTAACACCATAAAAATCCTAGAAGAAAATCTAGGCACAACCATTCAGGACTTAGGCATAGGCAAAACTTCATGACAAAAACACCAAAAGCACTGGCAACAAAAGTCAAAATAGACAAATGGGATCTAATTAAACTCCAGAGCTTCTGTACAGCAAAAGAAGCAGTCATTAGAGTGAATTGGCAACCAACAGAAGGGAAAAATTTTTTTGCAATCTACCCATCTGACAAAGGGCTAATATCCAGAATCTACAAAGAACTAAAACAGATTTAAAAGAAAAAAACAAACAAATCCATTCAAAAGTGGGCAAAGGACACGAACAGACACTTTTCAAAGGAAGACATTTATGAGGCCAACAAACTTATGAAAAAATGCTCATTATCACTGGTCATTAGAGAAATGCAAATCAAAACCACATTGAGATACCATCTCATGCCAGTTAGAATGGTGATCATTAAAAAATGTGGAGACAACAGATGCTGGAGAGGATGTGGAGAAATAGGAACACTTTTGCACTGTTGGTGGGAGTGTAAATTAGTTCAACCATTATGGAAGACAGTGTGGCGATTCCTCAAGGACCTAGAAATAGAAATTCCATTTGACCCAGCAATCCCATTACTGGGTATATATCCAAAGGATTATAAATTGTTCTACTACAAAGACACATGCACACGAATGTTCATTGCAGCACTGTTTACAATAACAAAAACCTGGAACCAACCCAAATGCCCATCGATGATAGACTGGACAGGGAAAATGTTGTACATATACACCATGGAATATTATGCAGCCATCAAAAACGATGAGTTAGTGTCCTTTGTAGGGACATGGATGAACCTGGAAACCATCATTCTCAGCAAACTGACACAAGAACAGAATATCAAATACCACATGTTCTCACTGATAGGCAGGTGTTGAACAATGAGAACACATGAACACAGGGAGGGGAGCACCACACACTAGAGTCTGTTGGAGGGGACTAGGGGAGGGACAGTGGAGGGTAGGGAGGTTGGGGAGGGATAACATGGAAGAAATGCCAGATATAGGTGACAGGAGGATGGAGTCAGCAAACCACATTGCCATGTATGTACCTATGCAACAATCGTGCATGATCTGCACATGTACCCCAGAACATAAAGTACAATAAAATATATATAATCAATTTCAACCTACAGTGAGGAAAATCATCATGTGGTAAAGGTCAGATGGAGTATTCTATGGATCTTAAGACTAATGTACATTAACATTAACTAATTTATAGTACATATTCACTGCCACATTTGTTCATAAAATATGATGCAGAAAAACAAACTAAAATTTGTCATTGTAAAATAATGAAAATCTCTCCTGAATAAGTTATTTTGTACTAGACTTGCAATAGTGCAGATATGCTTTAATGTATCAGGTTTGGCTCAGGCACCATGCTTCCAGGGAGTTTTCTGGTGATCCCATGCTCTGTACCCTGCACCTACCTCTGCTATGGAGCCCTTCCTCTCCTTCCTCTCTGTATTTGTTAATATACTCATACACAGTATTATAATCATATGTTTGTACTCCTATTTTCTCCACTAGGCGTTAAATTTATTGACAATATAATAGAATAAAATGAAGTTTGTTAAATGAGTAATGAATAAAGTAAATGCCATAATTCAACTTTTTTTTTTTTTTTTTTTGAGGCAGGGTCTCGCTCTGTCACTCAGGCACGAGTACAAGCATCTTCATCATAGCCTTGAAATTCTGGGCTCAAGTGATTCTCCCACTACAGCCTCCCAAGTAGCTAGGACTACAGGCATACACCATCACCCCTAGCTATTTTTATTTTATTTTATTTTTTCATAGATATGAGGCCTTGCCATGTTTTCCAGACTAATCTTGAACTCCTAGGTTTAAGCAAACCTCCTGCTTCAGCCTCCCAAAGTGCTGGGGTTACAGACATGAGCCATCATTCCCAGTCCAATTTTGTTTTAATTTCAAAGCAATAAGGATAATAATGCCAGCAATAAGATTGTTGTGATGTTTAAATATGTTTTAACACTTGCTAAGTGCTTCACATAAGGCATGTCAAGTCATGATTAGTGGCTCAATAGCATCTATCTATTGAATGATTATTCACTCTTTTTCTGAAACTATCAAAAATTGTTATAAGCCTTCCATATTGCACTTTTAGTATCCAATAATTAAGAAAGAATAATCAAAGTGCTTGACTTTGAAACTTTGCAAATTTCCAGGGGTCCCTACCTCATAGGTAAGAATCTCATAAACTGTAGATTGTACCAGGACCTAGAATGAAGTTTATAGCTCATCATGAGAGCCATTATGGTGGAGCAAAACACCCACAGTACAAGCAAAGCACAATGGTCTGAGAGCAACAGAGGAAGGGACAATAAAGGAAAGACAGCAGATCTTCATTTCTTCCTACTTTCCAAACAGCCCAGATTCATAGGTTATTGCCAGTATGCAGCTACTTCACTGTCAATTCCCTGCTCCACAAAAATACTTGCTGTTCCTATGTAGCAAAAGAAAGGACACACACACACACACACACACACACACACACACACTCAACAGTAGCTCGAGGAGGGTGTGTTAAAATAAAATAGACAACCTGATTGTGTTTCCTATGAGCCTGAAAATTCCAACTAGATTTCTTGTACTCTTTTTTTTCCTAAACCTATTCATTAGAACTATCCCCATTTCACATGTTGGAAATGAACCTTAACTGTTTAAACAAACAATATGGAAACAGGTGTAAAGAATGTATTAACTCGCTGAAAAGTCCAAGAACAGGATAGGTTCAGACACAACTGGGTCCAAGAACTAAAAAATAAGTCACTAAAACTCAGTTTCTCTTTCACTGGGATTTCTTCCAAAGTAAGTAATACTTTCAACCAGGTTCTCCCACATGATATAAAGATTAGCTGATAATAACCATAGCAGAAAGTAAGGTTCTTTCTCCAAGTGACTCCCAAAAAAATCCCATAATCCGCAGCCAGTTTTATATGCTTTCGGCCTGAACCAATCACTGTGACAGGTTACTTTAGGGATACCAACCATTCTGCTTTTCTCAGAACTGTCCTGGTTTTAACATTGTTAAGTCCTTTGTCCCAGAAAACTTCTCAATTTCAGGGACTCTAGGACGTTAGTCACCCCAGTTTATGTGTGCACTATCAGTCATGGAGATTTTTCCACACCAGAACGCTCAGTGGGCATAGTAACAGGGAACAAATGCTAATTGGGGGGGAATGTCCCGTACATTGACCTGCAAACTATTGAAATGTGCTAACATGATGGCCACATGTGCTCATTGAGCACTGAAATGCAGTAGTCTACAATTTAGTCTGAATGTAAGTCTGAATTAAGATGTGCATTAAATATTAAATACCCTAATGGATTTTAAAAACTTACTAGGAAAAAAATGTAATATATCATATTAATAAATTTATATTTGCATGTTGAAATGATAATGCTTTGAATATAGCTAAATAAAACATCATTAAAAATTAGTTTCACGTTTCTTTTTCCTTTTTTAATATGGCTATTAGTAAATTTTTAATTACACATGGCTCACATCATATTCCTGTTGGATGGCACTATGATAAAATTTTTTTTTTAAAGTTAATAATGTATTTATGTGATGTATAGGCGAGGTACATTAAAACAGTATTTTGAGTATCCAGACACCTTAAACAACAAATGATAAGTGAATTAAGTAGAAAATATCCCAGGCCCACAAACAATGAGAGACAATAATGTCAAACTCAGTACCAAATTCACACATTCAATCATTTCTCTCATCATTTGTGCCAGGACCAGCAGTAAGTCCTGGGGCTTCAGGCCCAGATGAAAAAAGAGGTTTGCCCTTTAGAAACCCACAGACCAGAAAGGGAAAGAGCCACGTTTTAAAAAAATTTATGTAAAATTATGTTGTGAGTAATATGATAAGTTCCGGCATACACAATCTGTTTTGATTTAATTACGGTAATTACATCATCCACATAATTTTTTGTTTATTCAATCCATACTCTACATATTCTCTTCCTATTTCATGTCAACTTCCTTGAGACTAGGAGTATTGCATTAATACATTCATACAACCAGTTGCATTTGTTTCAGTCCTTCCTTTTTATTTAACGATCAAATGTTTCTTCATCTCATATTTACTCTCCCTAGAGTCAGGTTAGCCCAGTGAAACTTAATGGGCTTAGGGTCAAATATTGCCAAAGTCCCTTACTAGCTCACTTACCTAGTGAGAGCGTGTAACCCCTCTGTGCCTCATTTTCCACCAACAATATTGAGAAACAAGATACTCAGTAGATCTTTGACACATACACACTCATATTCATACACACACAAATTCAGATCATTGCTTGCAATTTAGCTTATTATTGTTAATCATCTGGAAATATCAAATGCTTACAAACACTCCAACTCACTGGCATTGTACTCTCTCAATATACCTATTTTTAAGCACTGGAAGGGGGTTCTACATGCTAGCAATTGGGTTCCCTCTAAACATCCTTGAAAATGTTTATTTGAAAAGATTACCTTGTTTTCCTTCAGGATTAAGACATGGTCACTGCAGACAGAGATGATTTGGAAAGATGGCAAGCAGTTTTTGATAGCTCTTCAGAGACCCTTGTTAAATGAACATACCTACAGAAAAACAAAATGCATTCCAGCCCACACACGTTAGAGACATTCTTCAAACACCTAGATGAGAGAAGATAGCTATTACAAATAACATATTTGTTGGAGAGAGTGAAGAAATCACAAACTCGCTTGGATAAACACTATTAAACGCATACTTAGCCAGCCAATTGCGACAGTTTCCCTCTGGCACTCACTGACAAGCTTGGCTCCAGCTGTAAATTAGGTTGCAAAACTTCCTTGTCAGAGAACTCACCCTGTGAGGAGGACTCAACCCTGGCTCTGAATCTGCAAGGACAGAAAAATCAATGTGACAGAAAAGCAGTTGCTTGTGTCAGGCTTCACCAAAGAGAGAAAGGGCTTTAAATTAATCATGATTTAAGGATGCTGGCAAAACAGTGCAAAGGCACATTCCTGGTGTCTCTGAGGAAGGGAAAAAAGGAGCCTGGAGCGCTTTGCGGATGCTCCCCGCTGATTCTGCCCTTCAGTTATAAACAGGATTCAATGTTTACTGTGGGAATGAGAAAGCATTGTGGATCTCGTGTAAACAGATAAAATGCAACAATATTGACAAAAGTTTGGCGAAGTGGTTATGCACAGTACTGATCGGTGGGTAGAGTGGGGATAAATGAAAGTTTCATCTTCTCTCCTAGGACCTGTGAATGAATTCAGTCACCTGGGAGGATTTCAGGTCATATAGTAAATTTTGATGTCGCACAATAGCAAAAGGATGGCTTGAACCTCTTATCTGGAAAAAGGTCAAAAATTGCCTTCTGGAGATGCCTATTTAAAAAATGTCTCTCCTATGTTGGGCGTTTGGGGCACATGGATGAGGGAAATCAATTTTTTGCCTGGCTTATGCTTCGGAGAAGTGGCTTTAAAATGTTCAAAAAGACCTACTAAGATTACTGTTAAACTTGCCTCTATGATATGGCCCCAGTGAGGCAGTGAGCCCCGAAAGTAGAGGTAAGCTGTACCTCAGATGTCAATCACTGTTGGCCAAGGAAGATCACTTTAGGAAATTTCTGCCTCCACTACCAATTAGGACATCAAATCTCTGCACTAGAGAAAATGATATCCCAGAAAGTTGATTTAAGACAGACTTTGTTCCTGTGTCAGGTACCAAACCTTTTCAGTTCGGGCAAAAGAACTCAAGTCAATGAGCCATATTCAGTTGTTTTCACAAGTCATCTCTGACTACAGGACCAGGGTTGTCTGGGCCTTCGACTGGACTTGACTTTGACACTTGTTTGTCATGATGATACAGCCGTTATTCCTCAGTTCTTTCCTCTGTAAGGGGAGAGACATCCAATGAAGACCAAACACGATCAGGCCCTATTGTTAAAAGCTTCCTTTGGCTTTACTTTGTAGTATCATCTCTATCATCATAAAGCAATCATGAAACATGAGATGTTCCACCAAGCACTACACGAATAAATTACATAGACGTTGTTCCTACCCACTAGGGCTTGTGATAGAAACAACAGAGCACTTAAACTATGCAAATATGGTAAGTTCCTATAAACAACAGAGTACAGAGGCTAAATCAGCAGGAAATAGAAAATACAAGCACAGAAAACTGAGTGGTAGTGATAAACAATACCAGTAAATATTATTAGTATATGCCTCTGAAAAATGGAGAATTCTGAAACCCAAGATAAGAAAAAGAAAAAGTTTACATAGCTATGCTGCATTAGAGATATGACCAGCTAACACAGAGCCTCATCGTAATACAACCTTTTCGGCAACATTGGGTAGCAAACAGCTTCCGAAAACAAAGCCGTTCCAATTTTTTATTAAAAAAAAAAAAAAAAGAATGTGTAGCCATCAGTGCAGTTTTCTTTGAAAATGAACAGGTTTCAGAGGTACCAAGGGAAATTACCAGAAAAGCTGTAGACAATCCCTCTCAGGAGATCTTTATAAATAGCATAACTTTTCACCTGTTTTGTGTGGCTATCTCAGAAAGTAGATAATAGGCAAAGAAATCCTTTCAAAATCCCCCTTCCTTGTCTCATTCTGGGTTATTCTCCAGTTATTCCACCTATTTGCCTTTCCCTCATCTTGCAGTCAACATCCTTGAGAAAGGTCAGTTAAAAAGGAAAAAACAAATAGATGTCAGTGTTCCTGTGAGAAAACTAGAATAGTTAATAAATATGCAGCCCTTTCTAAATTCCAAGAGCTAGTTAGTGCTCTACCAGAGTTTTCAAATAGAAGAAAAATCTGTTGCAATCTTCTTGTCTAGACCAAATCCATAGCCAATGAGGACCTTTCCATATGCCAAGTCCTAAGCTGAACATTTTGCATGAATGATCTTATTCAATCTTCCCACAACCCCATGAAATAGACATTTTATTATTCCCACTTTACAGATGAGAAAATGCAGCCTTAGAAATATTATTGTGCACAAACTAACAGAACTAGGATCTGTTGGAGCTAAGATTAATGTAATTAGTTTTCTATGGCAGCTATAAAAACATGACAAACCAGTGACTTAAAATGACACACATTTTTGCTTGAGCTCTTTTGCCTCAAGACCACCCTGGGCAACACAGGAAGACCTCATCTCTACAAAAATAAAAAAAGAATTAGTCTCACATGGTGGCACACCTATAGTACCAGCTACTTGGGAAGCTGAGGCAAGAGGGCTGCTTAGGCCAGGAGGTCAAGGCTGCAATTAGCTATGACTGCACCACTGCACTCTAGCCTAAGCAAGAAAGTGAGACCCCCATCTCAAAATAAATATATAACACAGCTTTTTTTTTTCTCACAATTCTGGAGGTCAGATGGCCAAAATCAGGTACAGTGGGCTAAAATCAAAGAACAAGCAGAGCTCCTTCTGGTGGCTCTGGAGGAAAATCTGTTTCCTTACCTGTGCCAAGAGGGATGCAGTCCTCATTCCTCGGCTCATGGCCTGGGATCACATCCTCTTTCCTCTGCCTGTTCTTTAGTCACATCCCCTTTTCTCCTTTATCAAATATTCCTCTGCCTCCCTCTTATAAGGATATTTGTGATTACATTTAGGACTTACCTAGACAATCTGAGATAATCTCCCCATCTCAAGATTCTTAATTACATCCACAAAATCCCTTTTACCACATAAGGCAGCGTTCATAGGTTCCCAGAATTAGGAACTGGGCATCTTTGGGAGCTGTTATTTGGCCTGCTACAATTAGCATTCCAACTGTCTCCCATTCTCTTAAGCAGTATACGATCTTCTTTCTAAATGAATAATTCCTAACAAGCTGAAAGACCGATCTTCAGCAAGTGGATGGGCATCTCATATAAATTAAAGAGGTTAAAGTAAGTCATTTGAATGGATGGTAGCACAACAGTGGCAAGAGCCCTGGACTGACAGTCAGAAAATGGAGTATGTTTTCACTAACTAGACATGCAAGCTTGAACTGAGCACCACATCTCTTGGTATCAGGAATAATAAAGTTGTCAATTCTGATCAACAGAAGTAAAGTGGGATTTCACGAATCTCTTAAGTTTTATGGGAAATGTTGGACCCAATTATCAGTGTCTGCCCTACTTAATCTCTAGTTGTTTTTTTTTTAGATACGAGGTCTCCCTGTGTTGCCCAGGCTGGTCTTGAACTCTTGGCCTCCCAAAGTGCTGGGATAACAGGTATGAGCCACCATGTCCAGCCTCTAGTCCTTTTTAACTCTGATTTTATATGATCCAAGCTAAGGTTGCCGTCAGCTGCATGCCTGACTGGGTATGGAAAATCCACTTCCAAGATGGCTTCTTCACATGGCTGTTGGTAAGAGGCCTCACTTTCTTGTAACTTAGGGCAATCCATAGGCTGCTTGAGTGTCCTTACAGCATGGTGACTGGCTTCCTCCAGAGCAAATAATTCAGTAGAGAAAGCAAGGCAGAAGCCACAAAATATTTTATGACTTAACCTTGGAAATGACGTACCATATCCTCACTTCTGTACTCCATTGGTCATACAGATTTATTCTCATACAGTGTGAGAGGGAATTGCATCAGGGCACGGATACCAGGAGATGGAATTACGGCCATGTTAGAGGCTGATCACCATAATAGCCCATGTGGACTAGTGCTTTCCAATAGCACTTCCATGTTGGTGTCTATCTGGAGACCTCATCAGTGTTGGGGAGAAAGTATTATTTTCCTCATTTGGAGGTGGGTTCATGGCCAAGGTCCCTATATCAAAAGACAGATTTAAAATATATGAATTTGTCTGGTGTTAAGTTTTATGTAACACAGGAAATTTCAGAAATGAAAACCCAAAGACACAGGGAAATCTGTGTGTTTTTATGGTCAGTCATGTAGAAGTATCATTGGAAGACAAGTAAGTATGACCTAATGGTAATAAATGGGGGAATTTAGCAAGACCAGTTTGTTCAGATTCTTTGATGTGTTTCTGTATCTTCATTCATTTCTTTCCAGGAGAGTCTTACAACCTACTTTAGATGAAGGTCAGAAAATTCTTTCACGGGATGTTTCAGGGGAGAATGTTCAGAGAATGTCACAGAGACTTTTCTACTTCTGTTTTCTCAAATGTCAAGGTGCCATATTTGGGGATAGTATATCCTAAACCCTATCATAGCTTATAATTCATTATATTTTGTGATGAGTAAGAGTGCTTTGTGGCTTTCAAGAAGACTAGCATCATAAAACCTGCATTTGTAAAAAGACAGCTCTGGCAGCAGAGTAGAGAGTGGAGTAATGTGGATCCCTACTGCCTCTCAGGTGCCCCAGACACTCATGCAAACATCTAGCCCGGCCTTCTAGCCCCACATGTGTTCCCACCGCCTTTTATCCATGTTTTCCATCTCTAGCTACTGTGACATTCTTATTATTCCCAGGACAGGCCTGGTTCTCTTCAGACCATGCCTTGAATATTCTTCTCTGCTCAAAATGCCACATTTTCTACAAAGTCTCTTCTAAGTCCTGAGATAGAGCAAGTAGCTATTTCTGGTATTTCCATAGCACTACGTTTATCTCTCTATCATAGCATTCATCATGCTTTGCCTTCAATAATTTGGTTATGTTTCACTCCCCAAACATTCTCTGCATCCCTTGATGGCAGGGACCAAGGCCTTGCCCTATGGCCAGAATATCAGAGCACATAACAGAAGTCTTTTTTTTTTTTAATTAATGGATAGACTTCTTTCAATAATTTATCTTTCTAATACACTTAGTGAACACCAACTAGGTAACAGGAACTCTGCTCGATCCCAAGATACACACTAGTGATCAGTATGGTCAGGTTCCTG